GTACAAGCTATTTAATTTTGTATTAAAAGCTTTTCGACGTTTTTTTAAAATCGAAGATTTCATCGAAAACCCATTTTTTGTTGTTGTTATTAATATTTTTCCTTTTCGTTAAAAAAACGCCGGCGATTTTTGGTTATATTTTTTATTAATAACGTTTTATTTTGAAAATTTTAAATAATTTTGTTAAATTAACGAAATGTAAAAAACGGGGAATAAACGGTATTAAAACGGAAGTTTAACGGTTAAAATTCGTTTATAAATTTTAATAATAAAAAACGGGCTAATTTATTTATTGTTGAGCTTAAAGGTTAGTTTTAAAAATGTAATATTTTTCGTATTTATTTAAATTTTATTTTTTATTATAAACGTGCTTAAGTTAATTTGGTAACGGTTGGTTGCTTTTTCGTACCGTTTTTAAATTTTAATTGCTATCGTTTTAATATGGTTTAAAATTGCTTAAATTTTATTGGTTACCGTAAATGCATTGTAAATTTTCCGTTGTTTTGCTAGCGTATCGTTTGTATTTGGGGGGCGGGTTGGTTTGGATTTTATAAAAAGGTTCCAACCGTAATTGGCAAAAAACGGTAATACTTTTATTATTTTTAATATTTTGTTATTGCTTGCAAATGTTTTTAATAAAAGCTAATTAACCCAATCGTTTTAGTAATAAAAGCAAAAATTGCAAAAATATTGTTTTATATACGCATTTAAAATTTCCATTTACCCGTTGGATTTTAAATAAAACGTTAATAAATTTTTTAAAGTAACGCTTAAACGTTATTGCAATTTCCGCTAAAAGTTTAATACAAATTAAAAGCTTTTATTAAATACAATAATTTCGAAAGTACCGTATTAACGGTACATTATTAATATATAAGCGTTTGTTAAGCTACCCGCATTTATAATATTTATTAAAATATAATGCTTTATTTTCGGTAATTTATTTATTATTATTAAAATATTGGTATAAATAATACCCCGGCGTTTATATAACGGCAACGAACCAATAAAATCCATTAATAAATTTGCTTATAATTTAAACAGGATTAGCAACGGTTAAAATAACCCGTTGGAAAAGTATTTCCTTTTTTAACCATTTTGTATAAATAACAACCCCAAACGAAAAAGTTAACGTTCCGGAAAAGTTTTAACCAAAAATATAATTTTCGCAAAAGGTTATATGTTTTGCTTTTTTTTTGCGTAACCGCCGGGTAATAAATTGTGCATTTTATGCAATATTTGCAATCGGAAAGTATCGTTTAAAAGGATAAATCGTTTTTTTCCAACGTAAATACGCCTTTAAATTATTTAACAATTGGCTTTAGCAATTTTAACCGTTTTGCGCAAAAGCGTTAAAAAGTAACGGGTATTCGGGTTAGCAAAACATCGTAACAAATTTTAATAAAGCTTAAACGCGAAATAGCTTTTATTAATAAATGCGTTAATAAGTTTAAAAAAATTTAATTGGTAAAAAAAAGTCATTAAAATTGCGCCGGCGTTTTGCTTGCTTACCGTTTTAAAAAAGGAAGATTTTGTGCTTATTAACAACGCGTTTATTTGCGGCGGTATTATAAAGCGTTAGTTTAACGCCGGGGGGTTAAAAAAAAGCGTTTGGCATAATAGCTATTTTTTTGGCTTATATACAATTTGGAAATTAAAATTATTAAAAAATTCGAATTAACGTATTTACCGCTAATTAAACAATTTAATTATAACAAAAAATTGCAAGTTTTTGTAATTTGTTTAAATTTCCATTAACGTTTCGGTTTTTAGTAATTTTGGTTATTATTTTTTAAAAGCGCGTACAATTGCAAGCAATTATTTATTGTAAATTTCGTAATTGCATTTAACTAGTAAATGCTTGGCTAAAAAAAGGCAACAGGCCGGCGTATTTTTAATATATTAATTTGGGATAACACCCCGCCCGTAGCCCAATTAAAAGCGTTTGCTTTTATAATTATTTTAAAGGCTAAATTATAATGTGCTAATACGATATCCAAAAAAAAGCTATTTTAAATTGGTAAAAAGCTGCTATTGCGTTAACGGGTTATTAACGTATTTATAATTGCTTGTTTATAAACAGGGTTGGGGATTAAGTTATTTAAGTTACTCGTTAAGTCAGTAAAAAGTTACAGTTTAAAGCTTAATATTAAATTAACTATTATAGTTATAAGTATAAAAATACCACCATTAAATACAGAAAACTCAGTTTTATATAAATAATATTTAAAATATTTAATTACGTAATTATATATTACGTAATTTGCATTAAGTCATTTTTTAAATCATTTTCAACTTTTTTTTTAACTAAATGTAACTCAATGCATTTTTACCCGCTTATATACCATTTTTAAGTAATATAAACTTATAATATATTTTCTTTTCCTATTTGTTTATATAAATACGAAGAAATAAACGTTTTACCTATTTTTGTTGATTTTAGATTTTATTGCAAAGTTTGACTTAAAAAATGACTTAATAACTTAATTGTAACTTAATTCCCAACCCTGTTTATACATAAATAAAAAGGTTTAGCAATAACGGAAAAGCTTTTAATAAATTATTAATAAAAGCTAACGAAATTTATAAAACGGTGTAATTTTTTAAGCGTTATAAATTGTTTTTATTAACGAATTGCTTTAATTTTTTATTTATTTATGCAAATTCCCGTAATAAAAATAATTAAGCTAAAATATTTGGTTTTTTATATTAAAAATTTGCACTTTCGGATATTAATAATAAAAATTTGCGTTAGCAAATTTTTAAATAACCAAACGAACGTAACGTTAATATTTCGCTTGCGTTTTGCTATAAATAAAAACGTTATCGAAATATGTTATAGCGTAACGGTTTAATGCGTTTAATAAAATGCGGTTAATGTAATATTAAAAAAAGTTAAAAGCGCTTGTTATGTTAAAATTTGCTATTAAACATTTAAAAAGGCCGAATTTGGTAATAAACGTTATTTTTTATTTATTTTTTGGGGCGATTCGGAAGCGGTTAAACGCTGCAATAATATTTAATTTAATAAAGTATTTAGCTTTTAAAAAAGGATCCAATGTTTTTTTAACTAAAGGAATAGGATATTTATTTTTTACGGTAACGTTATTTAAGCCCCGGTAATTAATACAAACGCAAAATCCCTTTTTAAGCTTTTTCGTTAAAAAAAACCGGGGCAATCGCTAGCAATATATTATTGCGTATAAACCTTTTTGCTAAATGTTTGTTTAAATACTTTTTAATAATTTGCAGCTTTTTTGGAATATAAGCTTATTGTAATGGTAAAAAGGCGTTTTGCTTGAAAATAGCTCGATTTTGTAATTAAAAAAGCGATGCGGTAACAATTTGTTAACGTTTTAAAGGACAAAGCATAACGCTAAATTGCAAAATTCGTAAAAAAAGCGTTTTAAAATTTCTTTTATTGTAACGGGGGGCTTGCTATCCAGATATTTTTAAATATTATTATTGGAAATTCGCCGAAAGTGCGGTACCTTTTTAACCCAATTTTAAAATGCGGCTAAACATAATTCCAGCTTATTTTTAAAAACTTTATTAAATAAAGTTAAAATAAAGCGAAATTTTTTTATTAACGTATTGTTAGCAAATTGGTTAGCGCTTATTAAAAGCATTAAAAGCTTGGGGCGGGTTTAAGCGTAAAGCTTTGCTATGGTTGTACGTTCGAATTATACGCCTTTTTGTTTGCAAAATAATATAAAATTTAAAGCGTTAAATATGCGTATATTTGCGGGTTTGTGCCCGTTATCGTTGTTTTTTAAGTAAATGCCCGCCGGGTTACTAACGTTTGGGTTTAATTCCGATAACGTAATGCCGTGCATAATTATTAAACCCGTTATTTAATTAATGTAAAGGTTATGGTAACGTAATTATAAAAGCTTTAATATAATGTTAAAGCCTCCCGTTTTTAATAGCTAAATGTATATAATAAGTATTCCCGTTTAATAATAATGCTGTAACGTATTTTAATGGATTTGCAAAAATAACCCTTAATTTTGCCGTTCGTTAATTTTAATAAAATAAGCTTAAATAAAGCAAAGCGTATCAAATTATTAATATGCGCAAAAATATTATCGATAAACGTTGATAAAAAATATCCGGTATTTAAAAAAGTACGGTACGAAATTGGCGGCGTTTTTTCGGTAAAAAGCTTATTGTAAAATAAAAAAGTAAAATTGGGTTTTATTAAATATAAATATACGTTTGTTTTTTTAAAAAAATTGTTAGCAAAACGTTAATGGCTTTATAAAAGCAATTATGCTTAAAAAAATTTAGCTTTTTTTTTTATGCAAGCAATTGTTTGGTAATTTGCTTTGCCGCAATAAAAATACAAATAATTGGTGCATTTATGCTTTTTTTTAAGCGTTAGTAAAAAAAGGGCGGGTTTTTGTTGTAATTTTATGGAAATTTATAACGTTTAGGTGCTGGTTTGGTCCTAACGTGTGCTAGCGTTAAGGTAGCGTACCGGGGGGTAAGCGTTAGCGTTTTGCTTGCCCCAAAAAACGTTATTAGCAATATTATTGGTTAAATTCCGGAATAAGCTTATTTACCGTTCGAAATTATTAAATTTTGGGCGTTTTACAATTAACGTAATGGCTTTATGCAATAAACGGTTAACCTTTTATTTAAAAGCTGGCACGCTTAAATCGCTAAGCAAATTGCACATATTGCTAAGTTTAATAAAATTGCTTATAAAATTGCCGGAAAAAAATTGCTTTAAATAAACAATTTAAAATCCCGGTTGGTTTTGGCCGTTATATTGGTAATAACGTAAATTTAATCCAACGTTTTAATAACGTTTTAATAATTACGCTAATTTGCTAACCATTTAAAAACGGTATCGGCGGTTATAATAACCTGGTTAATTTTCGGTTTTATAAAAGCAAAAGCATCGTTGCTTAAATGTTAAAAAAGGAAAAAATGCGTTTTAATAACGTTAAACAAAACGGTTTAATGAAGTTCATTTGCATTTTAAGCAAAAAGCGCTAATTGGTATAATATTTTTGCTGCTGGATTTGGTTTATTTCCGTACTTTTAAAAATTTCGAAAATAACGGTCCGGGGGCGGATTGCTAGCGATAACGCGGCGGCCCCAAAAGGTTGCGGTAAAAAAGGCCTATTTATAGCTAATGTAAAAATAACTTAGTTAAATAATTGCTAAATTTAAATTTAAAAATTGCAAATTGTTATTTTGTAATTCGAAATTATAACGTTAACGGCGTTAGCGTTTTAACAATATATTATTATTAATTTATTAACGGTTTAAAAACGGGTTTTTTATAATTTTAAAAATAAATATTACGAAAAAAAAAACCGCTTTTGCCTCCCCAACCTCGCAACGGGAAAACGCCATTAAATACAGCAAATTTAACATTAAATTTAAACTTTTCGCTTTCGGTTCGCTACCGGACGTATGTCCGCGCGCGAGCGCGCTTCCGGCGCGGTTGCTAGCAGCGCCAGCAGCCCCGAAAGCGGCAAAACGGTTACCGACCGCCCTAAAGCTAGCAATAATACCATTATAACCAACGCTTTTAACCTTTTTCCAACGCGCACCCGCATTGCAAATTTAAAAAACCAATTAATTAAAACATTAAAGCTTTTTGTACCTTTCGGCAATACCGAATTAATGTTTAAAATTGTAAAAAAATGGATTAAAGCCGTAATAAACGCGTTCGAAACGCGGTTTTGCAACCATTGCAATTATATGCCCAATTACTTTTGCATTATAAAAAACGAAATTATTGTTAAAATACGCAACGCCCGCAAGCAAACCATTAATTATATTTCGATTTTAATAACCGGTTTGCCGCAAAACGGTTAAACCGGCAATTACCCGCTTACAATCCGCTTTTACGCATTTTTTAATACCGGCCCCCCCTTTTAAAATATATTTCCGCGCGTACCAAACGCGAAATTACCATTTTAACTAAAAACGTTTTTTTTTAAATTGCAAACCGCATACCCGTTAAAATTACCATTACATTAATTAAAAAGTTCGGTAGCAACGTAAAAGCAACGCGCAAGCTTTTTAACGGTAACGTGGTAATTTTATTTTATATAACCGTTATTAAATATACGAAAAATACCGCGTAAATTACCAAAATATTCGGCAGCAAAGCAATATACCAAACCCAAATTTATAACGTTATAATTAAAAGCATTTAATAAAATGCAATTAACGATAACAATATTTTGTTGCACGAATTTAAAGCGCATAATATTGGGGCCGAAATTAATTTTATTTATATATAAAATGCCCGGCAATTAAAAGGATACGCTACGGTATTGGTTAAAATTATATCCCCCGTTGCAATTTAAATTGCATGCAATAATAGCTTTATATTTAAAAGCAAAATTTTTAATGTTAAACCGTTTGCAACGGGAGCAAAAGCCGTTTAATGTTACAAATGTTACGGGTAAAAATATAAATTAAAATTTTGCAAAAAAGCGGTTTGTTACCCGCATTACGCCGGGCCGTTGCATGGCAACGGCAAAACCGGGGAATTTTTGTGCCCGTTGTACGGGGGTTAATTTGTTGCAAAAAAAAGCAAACCGAAATGTTGCAATTGCGGAAGCAATTACCCGGTTTTCCAACGAACGTGCCCCGTAGCGAAAAAAAAAATTAAAAAGGCCAAAAATACATTTTTAAACCGGCCGAAACAATTTGTTTTAAAAACGGGAAACGAGCGCGCATTTTAATCGGACCAAATAAGCCATTTTGCCGTTTATACCTTCCCGTTTTTTGCATTTATCCGCTTTTTACTTAGCCCCCCCTAGCCGCTACAAAAAAAGGACAATTTGCTTAATTTAAAATTGTTAACAAAATGCAAACGGGACGGCTTTTTATTAAAAATAACGAAAACAAAGGAAAATTTTTTAACCAAAAAACGAATAAGCAAATTACGAAAATTTTGTAACAAAAAAACGTTAAACTTTTTTAAATCCGCTTTTAGGATAAACCAATACTTTACAAATCCAAATTTCGCCCTTTTCGGCCTTAACAAAATAACGGAAATAAAGGGAATAAATAAATGCCGGGCCGTTAATAACCCAACGGCATTTAATAATACCGCGGTTACCAATTCCAATTTTGCCAATGCACTAAATTACAAAGCCCTTTTTTTTCCCTTTAATTTACCTTTATTTTAACCGCTTGCATTTTAGCCAACCCAATTTGGCTTTACACCGGTACCGTTTAACCTTTTTGCAACCGGAATTACGTTTACTTTTAGCTAGCCAATTAACGATAATAACAACGTATAAAATTAATTATATTATATTAAAATATGGAAAAAGGCAAAAAAAAAAG